GATGTTGACCACATTCCTCTAGCTTGAGAACAACTCACAGAGATACTCAGCCACACGGTGTAAAACTAGCTTAAGGACCACTCCAACCCAAAGGTTTTAGGAGAGAGCATTGTCAGACACTTGGGTTGTTGGAGAGAAAATCCGTCTGGAGAGAACACAGGGATTTTAGCCTTTGCAGACCATTTACATGCACTAAAACGATATAACACACTACAGGGAAGAGAAAACCCCTAAAAGCACAGTAGGACCCCTTTAGAATGAGTTTCCCCCACCCCGGTAAATATTTGGGTATATAACAAAGGTAATGCTGGTACTGTTTATTAATGACTGGATTTAGTTTCTTTTTGAGGTAATCACTGGCATTAAAGAATCACTGCCAAAGCCATTTCTGAATCCTTGTGACCAACAATCAAAACTGAACAATGACCTCATTGGTGGAGGTAGTTATGATGCCAATTACTACAAAATAACACTTGATCTGTAACAATGTGTTTGTAAGTTGTTTACAAAAACCAACTGCTCAGCTACAATCATTCATATTTTTGTAGAAGGTTTTTCAAATTCAGGCTGGACAGATTTCAATGTGCTTACATTACCATTCCTGCCATCCATTGATTTCCATGCATTTATTTACTGTATACAAATTCAGAGCGACTGTATCAAAGAATCACACAATTAGTCATTTATGAACATTTATGGAAATCAATGGCTGTCTGGAATAGTAGAAAATAAATATTTAAAAAAATGTGAGGTCTTAATAGTTTAGTTGAGGAGTTAAACCAAAACAACACTAGTGTTTTTTTCCATTGCAACAGAAAGGTTTACCAAAGGGTTAGCATTGGACTAAGCAAGAGTCAAAGAAAGAAAGAATATTCCACAACTGCAGTTACGTGTCAAAGTGTTGTGTATTTATGATGGACACACATGTATTGAGACCCCACCTCATGATCAGGCATCTTAAACCTCACACTGCAGATGTAGTCAGATACAACTTGCGACAAGCTCTTACACCCAATACCAAAGCACTTTGGATCAGAGCGCTATCACCCTGAAACAGATACAAGCAGGTCCAACATCTCTGATATCCAACACTGCACACTGAAAAGGGAAAGTACAAGATCTTTGATCAGCGTAAAGCAGCATCTAAGAGCTAGAATGACTTGAAAACAAATGAGTCTGTGCTCTTAATCTCCAAAGGGCCAGATGAGCTATTCAACCATTAGCAGAATGCCGGATTGTATAAGAAACGGCTGCTTTCAACAGCTAGGAGAAATTGTCTGGTGTATACAGTTTTGTCTGTCAGACACAGAACATCAACACTCTAATCAGAGGTGCAGTTTTTTCTGCAGGATCCTGTCAGAGTCACCCGTCGGGAAACAGAGATCTGAGACGGGAACAGGATCTGCCTGCTGCTTCGAACACCTCTGATATTCAACCCTCTGCACAGACACGCTGAACCTTTCTTATCTCTCTGGAAATCAGGGGCAGCAGTCAGTGTCATGCGCACGACATCACTGCCTGGAGATATCAGGAACAAAGAACAGCTGATTGATGCCACTGCCAAATACGAGGGTGCAGAACCCCTCTGACATCCTGCAGGTGAGAGAGGGCCTTGCTCAGTGCTGCAGGGGGAACCACGCCAACACCACAACCACACTGACTACTGTAGTCAAGTATAAGGCTGCAGCAATTCATTAATACAAAGACTACATTTTCTATAGTAGAGCCTTTTTCAGACTTTTCAAAACGCCAATACACGGGCCAATGTGCCAACAAAAGGAACAGCAAACATGTCTTAATATACTTTTTCAAATACGTTCAACATTTTAGTTAAAAGGCACATATTCTGCTGATGTTCGGGTGTATATCAGTATGTAGTGTCTCTACTTTAAAGAGTCCTCTCCTGCTGATGTTCAGGTGTATATCAGTATGTACTGTAGTGTCTCGACTGGGACATGTCTCCATGCTTTAATGTTCAAAAAGCTCTTTATTTTTCTCATACTGCCTCTTTTCACCCTCTGTCTGAAACCAGAGCCCAGTCTGCTCTGATTGGTTAGCTGGTCGGCTCTGTTGTGATTGGTCAACCACTTAGGGATATCACATACAATGTGTTGGAGCGCTATCCAATTGACACGCAAGTGTTACATAGTGATGTTACTATGTTAACAAAGGAGTCTAATGGTGGCTTCTCAAGCGGTATGGGGGGTTGGGGTGATTTTTGATTATAATTGTTGATTATTGCTGTTGATCAGCTACTTGTCTTCGATCATTTCAACACAAGTCATGATATATATGGCATAGTGCTACAAACTAAGTCATAAATCATGTGTTTTTAAAGGCTGCAACAATAGCTGCAAACACATCGCTGATAAATAACTGTCAAGTTGTTGAGGCTCTGGAGGACTCTGGTAACTGATCGGTTAGAGCTAATGAAGGCAGCTCTGTTGCATGTCTGCCATTTCCCCATTCTCGAATGAAGGTGAATATGCAATAACAAACATATGTGTGTACTTATATTGATATATACAGCAAGGGTGAAAATGTTCTCCAGCACTTTTCCTTGCACATACAAAGTACACAGAAATAAATGAGCTCCCTCTCTCCCTGGCAAGATTAAGCATTCTGTCTATTTTTAGCCCTCTCAACTCCTGGGGGAAATGTCTGTCTCTTTAGCTTTGAAACGCTCCAGTGTGCTCACCAGCTAGCCGTAACTTTGCCAGAGTTCAGCGGCTGGAACACCAGTTGATGAGAGCAGATTTTGAGGCAAAGAAATGGACCTGACTGCAACACGCCTGAGCATCAAAATGTAAATCAATTATCCAATCAAGCACAATAACAGTAACATCAATATTTAAGCGGGCTGGCTAATTACATACAGAGGAGTTAATTACATTTTAACACTATGTGAGCACCTCGCTGCCTCCTGAGCAGGTCTGTCTCTGATCAGCTGACTGTCTGCAGCAGCAAGGCTTCACACAGTCAGATTCCCTCTCTAATTTGCACACATTTTGGTTTACACCACAACAACTTAAAATCTTTTCAAGTATATGTGTCTAATATCTAGTCAGAATATGTCTGTACACCTGATATAAGACATAATAACTTCAGAAGAAACACTGCAGGGAGATATTGAGTCTTGCTTTTGTTAAGTCAAAAATCTTATTTTGAGTTGTATCTCAGATGATACACATATTTCTTTACATACTTATTAGAACATCACCAACTAACATCAGAAAACAGAAAACCTTTGAGCATTAGCGGCTTATATTATAACACAACATGTCCTGATTCTGGTCAAATATAGTTCAAAACTAGTTCTCCCAGCTAATCACAAGACCTGGTTTATCTAAATATCCCATCTTATTTCAAGAAATCTTACCAAGCACATTTTCACGTGTTCTATTGGCAATTTATTTTACTTATTTCAAGTGAAAACAGCTTGTTTGCATTACTGTTTAACTTGTTTTTGGAGCAGCATTTTTTCCAGTGTAGCTAATATTGCACAAGCCACTGAGTGTCTTTCGAGGATCCCTAAACCGAGGCACCGCTCCTCTCTGGAACAGTTACTCATCCAGACATGCCACATTGCTCTTTGGGAGAATCTCCTTCTGATAGCGCAGTATAAATGGCTGATCGTATCACATCAGTGTGACGCCAGCAATTCTCTCACGCTCCGGATGACATCTTTAAAAGCGTCATCTCCACTGGATAGAGACCTGTTTAAAGGCTGATCAGGTTCATTTAGTCCCGTGTAAGTGCTAATAGAAGGTTGTGTCATTTTCAATCAGTGGAAGCAACACACAGGTCACCAGGTCACATGTTAACGCGGTCACTGACATGAGAGATGAGTCAAAGCCTGGTCATAACATAATTACCTGATTGACTGTGTTAACCTGATCATGTCCACCCTTCTGTGATTCATGCAAAGTGCACATAACAGACTTTAAATGGCAGCTTCATAATATTAGTACAGAAACTAACCAGAGCTTCATCTGCATAATCCCCAGCTGCTAGCTGTGATCAGTATCAACGCTGACTACTCAGAGAACATGTTCCCATAGTACTAAACTGCATTCTCTGGAACTATTCCAAGGAAACAAATGTTGGTTAACTTTGCAAATGGAAAAAAAAAAAAAAAGCTATGAAACAACTTTGTTAGATTTAGACTAAAACATCAAGGACAGCCTTTAAATAAGTATGTTTGTTATGTCATTTAAGTTACAGATGTGATTTTTACAAAGTCAACGTTTTTTGTCTCATGCAGGACATAGCAGCATTCTCTTAAAGGTAGGGTAGGTCATTCACTTCAGAAACACTTGTTGTTATATAAGCACATATAAGTCATCCTACACCCTCTTCAGCGAGCGGCATAGGAACGACAGGGCCCCCCAGGTAGAGGGCTCCAGCGCCAGTGCTTATATAACTAGGGTTACAATACGTAACCCCCCGTTATATCTTACACAGGCTCCGCCCTCTACTGGACTCTATGGGTACATTGGGTGGAGCCCTGATGGATAAATGCCCTGTCGTCCAACAACATCGACCCATCACACTGCCCCTGACCGGCCTTTGGTTAACAGCCACCGCACCCCAACTTCCTCTCATCCGGTTGAGACCGTGAAGAAGTCGGGCCGCAGCTTACTTGGCTTGGCTGAATAGAGCACACTCACACACGCTTACCTCGTGTGGAGTGTGCATGGAAAATAGTGAGGAAGGCTCTCCCACAGAGGAATGTGGGGGGCCTCTAGGGATAAAAACATTATCTGAGGCCCACAACCACAGGTTCTCTGCTGCGCTTAACAATGCGGCAGAGCTGACTCCGTCCCGCCTGTGGATGTAAGCCACTGTGGTGAGGCAGCACATGTTTGGCCTGTAGTAAGGGTTTGCAGTGCTGTAGGAGTAGTACTACTGCCCGCAGCTCTAGAAGGTTGATTTGCCGAGTTTCCGTCAGAGGCCAGCCACCACCTATAGCTCTCTCTAGGCAGGTCCCCCCCATCCTGTCACGGGTGCATCTTGAACACCGTGACGTAAGCGGTCACCCTCCCCAGCGGAGTTCCCCTCCGCAGATGCTTTGGGGACCCCCAGTATCGGAGGTTGCCCTCCACTAAGGGGGGGATGGTCACCAGACGTCGTTTGTGCCTCTTGGGATCTAAACGAAGGCCGGCAAACCACCTCTGCAGGCGAGTAAGTAACCACAGTGGTACCACGAGGTCAGCAGCCGCCATGGAGAACCAGCTGTGTGTACCATGAATGATCTTTAACACTTTATGTCCTGTATAATTAAGAAGAGAATGTCCTGATAATATGTTCCTTTAACAAACTCTTACAAGATGTGTTTCATCTTTATTGTTTTATCCTTTGTCACAGGGGGGCACCAAAATATAAAAAAGTCCCAATAACAAAGAAATGCAGCAAGTGTGACACCATCCTGATGATTAAATTATAAACTGTTAGAAATTAAAATCAATGTTGATATGGCGTAATTTGAATTAAATATACTATTTAATTTAAATCAGTTTTATTCTGAAAAACCGAAAGTTCACACTATTAACTTAACACTTTTATTCTGAAAATTCTTCATTTCCGGTTAGCATTAGCATGTGGCGAAATGCTACGTTTTCAAATCGTGAATTGAAGGTGAAATAGCATGTCATGTTGTACACTAAACACACTGGGATTAGCACTCATTTATTGACGCTGAATAACGTTTATCAGGGAATGTTTAAATAACCAGACACCAGAATGATGTAATTTAGCAACAGAAAAAGGTAGGAATAGAGAGGCGAAGTCCCTCCCCTTCCGGGAGCCTCCATGGGACCCCGGAAGCGGAAAATTATACATTGAATTCAATGGAGAGAGAAAACGTATCTTTTGATCCCGTTTGAATTGTGCCACGAATGACACATATGATGTTTGTCAATTTAAAAGAACATTTTGCAAGTCAAAAAAATAAAAATGTGTCGTAAAACTGTGAAGTAACACATTTTTTTGTGTTAAGCCGCTCAGTGAACTACATGTCTCTGGTCCCGCACAATACGCGTCACCAACACAAAGATGACCGGTCACATTTCACCTCATTCTTTCAGAATGAGAATAAAAGTATAAAACGAGGTGAAAATCACTACAAGTCTGGGCACGTTGAGAGCTGTACATACAAGAAAGGGGAGTTAGTCGGTTCTGTAAGAGCCAGCATGCGGGACCGGCTTTACAAGGTTTCGGTGAGTAATATGAGTGCAATGTTTAACGTTAATGTCAGTCAATAAGGAGGAGAATGAAAAAGAAGATGATGAACCACAGACCCGGCATATAATGACTGCAGTGTGCAGGGCTGTGTTAATTTATGTTACTGTTATCAATAGCATTAGTTGACTGAGAAAACCGTCAAGAAAAAAAGTTTAGCGATGTTACGAGTCGACTAGCATAATATGAACCACGGCTGTGATTGACAACCTGGACAGCCAGTCAGAAGCTAGAATGCCAACCTAGAGAGCCAATCAACCCCACCCTCCCAAATAAAAAGGGTATCAAAACAGGAGAACAGACTACACAATAACCAACAAAAAAGACTAAAACCATAACACACTAACAACACTTAACATGTAACATAAAAAAATACACCATAATGTAAAACTTTGAAACTTAGTTGTTTGCCTAAACCAGTCCTAGTCTGAGTCACACATCAAAGTACCTTAATAGTTACGAGAAGATGTAACCTTTTGTTGTGATGGTCACATGGTCTCCTCTCACGTGTGTGTCGACACGATCTATTGGTTCGTTAACTGTCTATGGTTAGCGGAACTTAGATGGTGTCGTTTATTTGAGTACTGTGTTACTCGACATTTCTCTGTGGATATCAGCTATATTTACCGGCGAAGTAGACTTCTCGTGATTGTTGTGCCTCACATGGACAAGACACGGATTACAATAGGTCGATGTGTTGGCATATGCATGTGGGC